CCATATTTCGTTTATTTAGAGCTACAAATTTGATGCAATTTTAGCAAAAAAAGTACATTTTACACCAGTGTAACATACTGTAACATACAGTGAGTCTAACAACATACAATTACATATGTGTACCAAGTTTTATCTCCATGTGTGCTACTGTTAGCAACATTGTGGGAGTGTAAGTGTTGTATTTGTAGCTAACTATACGCAAGCTTTCAAGAACACTTGTGAGGAACTCGGCAATCTTTCTAGCAGTGCCAATCTCAGACTCAGCCTCAATTCTTCTTTGGCAACAACAGTTTCTCGACCTCGACTGGAATTGGTATCTAGCCCCCATGCAGAAACACGCATGCTTGCCCCACCCCCCTCAGCTAAAAAGCAGCTTATTATTCAAGAATTATTCTCGATTATCTGCACTGCCTATTATTCCCATAATTATTCTAGAATAATCCGCCCATGCCTAATTAGAGATTAGCCCCTATGTGGCATAGGTCATAACAAGTATTTCTCAGAATGTGGCGACACCCATTTTAGATGGTTGCTCTAATGCACCTGTGTGTACCATACGTATAAGGTAGAAAGACCGTCACTGCGAAGGATGTTAGGCACATTCGCTTCGTGTTATCGCACTTGTGTTGTAGAGAAGGAAATGGATGAGAAAAGCAAGACCTACACTTTAGTTCAGGAGTCAAGCTGTGCTATCACGCAAGCACATATCTTATACGTAGGTGCTGCTGCCAATGCAGAAGCATTGAAAAAGCACTGAAGTGCATACCCTCAGCGAAGTGTGCATGCATGGTACCACTAATTGATGGGCAGGACAATTAGTATGTGTTTACTCGTAGCCTCCACACAATTGAATGCTCGTGAAGTGAGAGATGTCAGGGTACCAGACAGACTGACTGACTGACTGACAGACAGACACACACGACAACTACAGTAACCCTCACTGTGCATTCGCGCCGAGTGTTAAGAGAAGGTTCAGTATAGTCGAACCACCCAGAACTCATGTGAATGACCCCTACACACTTTTTTCTCTCCGACTGAAGTAAGAAGGTTCGAGGAGGTTCGATGCAGTTGAACCACTCCGAACTAGAGTACAAGTATCCTACACACCTCGTTCCCCTTGTGAAATTGTTTTTAGAGAAGGTTCGTTCAAGTATATACAGTAACCCTCGCTGCGCATGCGCGCCGAGGGTTTAATGCACGGAGGCCACTGGCACCGAATGCTCCGAATCAACGGACGATTATGAGCCTGAAGGTATGTTTTCTTCGGGGAAAACACTGAGCCCGAAGCTTTGGGGAAAATGTTTGTGGTTGTAGGGCTGGGGAACTGGGACTAGCTCGGAGGACACACCCCTTGCGTACTTTATTTATTAAAGACTCGCAACAAATTCCATTCCTGAGACCCTTTATTCTGAGTCTAAAGGTAGATTTCCTTTGGGGAGAACGTTTGTGGTTGTGGGTGGGGCTAGGGCTGGGGCTAGTGTGCCGGGGCTAGCACTAAAATGCAAACCCTTGGCGCTAGGAACTTACGCATGAGCATTGATGTGTACGCATGTTCATAAATAATAATTGATGGTATGGGCCACGCCACTCGGTGTAACCCGTCAACGGAGCCAGTTTGTGGTTTAAACACAGACTACCTTGATCAGTGGGTAGTGTTTAGAGCAACGCTTGATTGTGATTCACATCACCTAAGCTGAACTGAAACCCGGTCGAGGTAAACAAGAGCTGATCTGGCTGTCGTAGTTCTGAAGCCATTGGTATTGTTCATGGGCCACCTTGTAGCCTGTAGTGCCAGAATAGCTGGTGACAAACAGACATATCGGGGACACACAGACAACCCTAGCTGTGCATGAGCGCTGAGGGTTAACCTTCATAATTATATAGCTCATTACATAAAGAAAGTCTCATAGATAGACTGGCGATTACATCCACATAGTATTCGCTGTCCCGAAATCCCAATTAAACAAAACTCGTGCTACCATGCTTGGAGTGCTGTCTCTGCTAGGGCTTGACGGCCATTAGCCAGTAACGCCTTGGCACGCACACTGTAGTTGTCACTTACTTGGCACTTACTGTAGTTGTCGTCTGTGTCTGTCAGTTACCCAACATCTCAGTTCATGAGCCATGAATCTCTCCACATAAAATACTAGGTATTCAGCTTCAGGGATAGGTCGAAAAGTATGTAGGGTTTTCTCTGAAACTGTTGCGTACAAGAGTTACGGCATGAAACACAAGCGAAAACACATATTGCTAAATAACCCTCGGCGCGCACGCACAGCGAGGGTTACGGTCCTTGTTTTGTCCATCTGTCTGTCCATCTGTTACCACGTTTTCTGCCACCATGCGCAACAAACAGGTAAAAAAGCGACACCGGGTTCAGCGCTACACTGGCTTTATTGTTAAAATGGCTATTTTCGTACAAGTGCCGCGTTCAAAAGTTATGGCGTGAAAAGCAACTGAACAAGCCAATATGCAAATTAGACCTCGACCGGGTCCGCTTACTCTGTGCATCTTGAAGGCACAAGAAGTCACAACAAAGGGCGTATATCGACTCCCGCATGCTATCTACTACTGCAGCTAGCCCATGTCCGACTCTCCACGAGCTACTAGCGGGAGACCATGAGTAAACGCACACTATAATAGCCCAACCCATCAATTAGCGGTAACCACGCACGCGCAGTTCGCCGAGGGTTTACACTTAGAACAGGCTTACCTCGAGCAGGTTCGCTCTGTCTGCGTATCTTGAAGGCACAAGAAGTCACAACGAAGGTCGTGTATCGATTCCTGCATGGTATCTACTGCTGTAGCTGGCCCGTGTCAGACTGTCCGCGACCTACTAGCGGAAGACCACAAGTAAACGCATGCAAATAGCCCAGCCCATCGATTAACAGTATCGCGCATGCGCAGTTCGCCGAGGGTTTGCACTTATGTGCTTTTTCATTTTGACAGTAGTACTTCCTTGAGCAAGGTAAATGCGAACGGACTTTGGCATCTTAGATAATATATGTAGGTCTATGATTAAGAGTTTTGTTCATCATCGCTATCACTTTCTTTGGATTAAGCACTCATAACTCAGAAGCTGAAATAGATGAAGCCGGTGAATTTAGTAGGAATATATATCGGTAAATGGATGTGCATGGTCACACTTTTTTTGTAAAGAATATTTTTTGTCTTTGTAAACAACAACAAAAAACACCCTGCAATACAGCACACGTGTGTTAGTGTAACTCACAGTAAAAGCTAAGCTACGTATGTAAAACGAAAATTGGATAGTGGAACCTCCAAATATTGGGACAGCCATTTTTTTCATTATTTGGAGGTTTCTTCGTAAATACATATATTGAGTAGCATAAAATTACTAATTTCGTTAGGGAGAGGTTTTCGCTGTTGGGGGAGTTCATTGTCAGAGGTCAAACTGTAATTTACCTGCATCAAAAAAGGAACAATGCAAGTTTCCAAAGAACAACAAATGTCCCCAGGCGCTTTTCTCTATAATTACGTCTCCACTCTGTAAACTTGCAAACAGTTGCTCGCATGGAAATTCAACTTCATACGCATTCATATTATAGCATTTCAATGACGACCACATGTTTGTAAAAGTTAAAAAAATAGACTCAGGCACAAAAACGTTCACTTTTAAACTTAAATTTTGCTGCACTCAGGGATGAAACTTTGTACACATGCGTATTACCATGACGACAGCATGTTCGACACCATGTTTATAAACATCAAACAAAAGGTTTCAGGCAGTTTTCTTTAAAAGTAGTTATATACATTTTTCTTGAGAATACTTGAGAATAATAGGCAGAATTTTGTGGGAATAATAGGAGCTTTCATACGAATTGAGGAAAAGAATAATAGGGCAAAAACAAGGAATAATCCGCACAGGCCTATCTCTAATACATGGCATAGAACTGCTCACTGCCGGTGAGGCTGTGTACTACGTTTTTATCACACAGAGAGAATGCATAAGAAAATGACAAAAAAAGATATAAAAAGGTCTAAATAACAAATCACGAGCGTTTCAACAATGTAAGAAACACCTAAAGTACCGACTATCATGCAGTATTTACTGAAAGCATTGAGTAACACATGCTGCGAAGAAGCATACTGAATCATATCAACAAATGGGTCAGTAAAAAATACTACTAATAATTGACATGCTGGAGTAAGGCTACTAATTGCGACATTTAACACCCTGGTTACAGAGGTGGGTAGCATTTTAGGCAAACGATATTTGCCAGGAAAATAACCTCCATAGTACATGAAGTAATGTAAAACATCACCAACAAGTTTCCTCATCATACCTTTTTAATTAAAACTCTTTGGGGCCCAAAGCCACTGGAGTGGCTTTTTACGTAGATAACGCGGAGTACAAATGTAACGCGTTGCGTGAATAGCGTGTACATCCGCTTATCTTCTCTTTCTCTGGGATAAAGCTCTTCATTGCAACTGACCGCCTTCCTGCGACTTTCTTTTTCCAATGCTAATGCACAAATAGAGCACGCCACGCCTTCTGGTACTCGAGGGCGTGACGCGCGTGCGGTGGCGTAGTACGTACATGCGAACCGCGCAGACTCGCAGGATCTGAGATACTCCCACCTTCTAGCCCACGCAACTGAGCTAATGCCTCCACAATGGCCAGGAGACTCTGCACTAATGCGGAAGTAAGTTTTCAGTGGTGAAAATGAGCACTCCAGCTTTTTGCATTGCGCGTAATAATAACGTAACACAATAATTTGGGCCCCAAAGAGTTTACAAATGTTTTGGGAAATGGCACTTTTAATATTACGAACAAATATAGCTATTAGTGTCACTCTTGGTTATAAAATTGCCTGCTATGGCAAGTCTGGCCAAAGAGACATACAAACACACAAACAAACACACATGCAAACGAATTCTCTAACCCTTCCTAAGCAACACATGCTGAGGTTTGATACTAAATTCAAACTGGCAGGCAGGGTATTTGACCAAACATCTAACATGACAGGTAAAGTTACCTTTTGAAGTAGAATGTTTTTCCTCAATCTTCTCTTCTACACAAAGTGACAGAAAGAGTTCAGGAGGTGATCCTTGTACTTGTGCATTCAATAACTTATGCCACAGAGGTAGACCCTAGAAACAAGGGGAAATTAAGCCACATTTGATAATCCTGACACAGTGAGTTGAATGATACATTCTTGGCCACATCTGTTACAGCAGGCGAAGTACTACTGGGGACAGTAATAAGAGTGTCCTTGCAAAAATAGCACAGAGCAGGTCAACATGTCACAATTCCGAGGCAGCCTTTTCTTCTTACAGCCCTGCTGAGCAATAATCCAACAGAAGAATTATTACAGGCTGATTTTGTAGTGCACCATTTTTCTACACATAGTCCAACTGTGCATGAATTTGGCTATTAATATTCAAGAAATACGTATGCTACCTACTTGTAGCAAGTTAGGTAACTCTCGGTCTTATCCATTCTGAGGAATTCTCTGCACTCGTCGATGCCTGACCGAGGCTATAAATCATCGCGGTTCGAAGGTGTAGGTTTTAACTCAGCTAGGATTGCTAGGATCTTGCAAATATATCGGTATGCTCGCTTCAGCTCGCTAAAAATAGTTTGTATTCTCCCACTAGTAAACAAACACATGTGTAGAGAATAATTTACAGGGTCGGGAATGCCTTCACAGAGTGCAGTTTTCAGTTGACATTGAACCCGAGATCAAAGGCAATATAATTAATTAGAGAGAAAGAGACAGCTACGTAGCAATGTCTGGGTTCCGAGACAGTTAAGAAATAGCGGTGTCAAAGGAGAGACAGACTGCATCCTTGCAGATGGCTAGCCGATTGCAAGGTTTGCAGTCAAAGTACAATAAGAAGAATTTCCAACCTTGTAGATTTAGGTATCACTCATGAACCGGAAGGGCCCGGACTTCTGCGAACTTAATGGAGCACTTCAGGTTCACTTTAGGGACCTTAGAGAAGGAGGCATTGGTGCTCAAGTAATCATCCACCTGTAGTTACCTCTGAAGAGGAAGACATGTTGTGGGGCTCAAAGGTGATTGGTGACCACACCCCTCTTGCTTTACAGAGAGCCGTTTTCTTCTATGTAGGGAAAGCGTTTTGTTTGAGGGGGGGAGAAGAGCAACGGAAAACAAAGAGCTCTGAATTTCATCGTTCGTTTGACCCCGACTGCTACAAGTATATTGAGAATGAATCAAAAAATATTACCGGTGTCAATTCAACTGAAAATAACAAGATTGTTCCAGTTTATGCTCAACCAGACGAACAACCTCGGTGCCTAGTTTATCTCCAGGATAAGTATTTTGATAAGTTTCCTGCTGATACTTATGGTCTTGATGTTTTTTACCTGCGCCCAAAGGCGTCAGTGACCAATCCAAATGTTTGGTATGATTGCGCTCCGGTTGGTGCACATAAACTCAAGACATTTTTGGACTGCATGTGTAAAGAGGCTGGTACAGTATTTTCCGGAGTATAAGTCGCACTTTTGATCAAGAAATTTGCTTCAAATTTTCAACATGCGACTTATACTGCAGATGCGAGAAAAGGGGCCGTTACCGTCAATTTCACGCATATAACAGGATATCTAACATCTGACCTATCACTGGTGTCCAGGGGGTCTTGTACACATGATACCCTCGTATTTCTCCTTCTACATTGTGATCTTCCATCCCACCGTGCGCGAACCCTCGTGAGCAGTGCGGTGGATGTGCGAGTTAAATAGAGTAACCATACAAATTCGTGTAAACTTTGGAAGCCAGACAATTTGCACTACGCCTAGCGCTAGATGTTGTGATAAGGACTTCCTGTCCAATACTGGTATTGGTCAGCCACAGCTCAGAATACAGCGTATATTCCAAGCACCGGATTGTTTGAAGTTGGACTACAATGTTCAATGGAGGCGAATGCATAATAATATCATTAAGATATTCCACCTGAACACTCATGTTGCACCAGGGTGCATATACTTTGAAGTGACGTAAATGTGTTTGTAAGTTGTATGTCTACACGATGAGTTAAAGTAACAAAGATGCCATTTGTGTCCTCATGGTCAAAACAAGAAAATGTATTACGAGGCCCCAAATTCCGAAAACTGTGCGTAAGGTGTAGAAGTTGATGCAGGTTCAGGGTCAAGTAACGGTCACTATAGAGTGAAGCAAACTGATAGTAGAATCAATGAAGTAGTGTTTTGGCTTTTTCAAACCAGAAGTAGATATAGTAGTAGAGTTTAAACCAAGGTTTCGCATATTTTCAAAGGCGCCGCCCACAACGTATTCAGTATAACCACCAACTGATAACATATCTACCTGTGAATATACAGGATATCCTGTGAAATAACAAGGAAGACCTGTGAAATATACAGGAAGTGATATCCGAAGCACATTGAGTAGTGTCCTAGAACTTCTCTACGACTTTTCTCCTGCTCAGAGTACAGAAGGTTAGCTTAGTTCTTTCTAATGGCGAATTTAGCATGAACGAAGAATCTGCGGGTAGATAACATGGTTAAACCACTCGTTTCCAGGCTTACTTTCTGCCTACAATTTTTCTGGAGCGCTAAAGGAGGCACAGACTGTCCCGAATTAGTGTTCTTTACGCAGTGTGTTTACTCACTCTGCAGAGAAGGACGACTGACTGCAGTAGTTTTTAGGCGGTTCACAACCATCTCATCTGCATACTTTTTGCCTGCAATGGTGTAATTGTCGAAGATAACGAGCGTTCAGTCCGACCGACCTGGCAGCTAAAAATATTGCGGTGGGTCCACAGCCGTCCCCAAATATGATCTGAAAATGATGATGCAATCTGTTACCATGGTATAAATTTAGTTATACCACGCCGACTGCAGGTGTTTCCGCAAATAACCTAAGGAATGTGTGATAATCCCTCGGGCAACCCCCTAGTAGACGTGGTATAACTACTATATACATATTCCATGACAAAGAAGGATAAAGTGCTCAAAATATATGGTAGGTAATAAACCTATCATCACGGCCAGAGAATAATAAAATAAAAAGGCCCGATATTCAGACACCATCCAGTATTTCCGTCCAGTTAAGCTTCGTGGCATACATCTTCAGGTAGAGACTAAAAAGCATTTTGTTAGAAAATCATTTCAAGCTATTGTTGGAATGGTTCTCTACAGCTGCATTTCAAGTATTCATGAGAATTAAAGAGAAACAGAAGAGGGAGTATCGGGTTCTTATGACAAGATACCAGACAGACGCCATACGTTAGACCCAACCAACATTGTTAGGAATCTCAGCAGTCGATCTCTGAGTAAAGAAGAAAAAAAGTATTGGCTCTTGCTTTGCCTTACCACCGAAGAAATGAAAACCACTAAACTGCAAAACCTCGGCGAACTGCCCATGCGCGGTTACCGCTAACTAATGGGTAGGGCTATAAGAGTATGCGTTTATCCGTGTTCTCCCGCTACAAGCTCACGGAGAGTCTGACACGGGCTAGCTACAGTAGTAGATAGCATGCGTGAGTCGATACACGCCCTTTGCTGTGACTTCTAGTGCCTTCAAGATGCAAAGAGCAAGCGGAGCCAGTCTAGGTAAGCCTGCGCTAATTTGCAATTGGCTTGTTCACTTGCTTTTCACGCCATAACTTCTGTATGCGGCCATTTTAAAAATAAAGCCAGTGTAGCACTGAACGCATCGGTGTCGCTTTTTTACCTGCTTGTTGCGCGTGGTGGCAGAAAACGTGGTAACAGACGGACAGACAAACCAAGTACTGTAACCCTCGCTGTGCATGCGCGCCGAGGGTTAAATACCGGTTACACAGATTATTGCGGCCACTGAAACTTTTTATCTCGCCTTTTATCACGGATTAGCTGTCTAAGAAGTGAAAAAGTGGTGTACCGTTCAATCTCCAGAGTGGTAAGGATACCCTTAAGTTAATGGAATGATGATGTTTTTTTTTAAACCGGATTAGAAAAGATGGTCGTTCAGTCATCTATTGATCCTAGCATTCAGCCAGTATTTAAGTCATCCAATAAACTTCACCAGTCTCTTGTGCATGTTAAAACACCAGTTACCACAGAGAGGAAGAGAAGAGTGGTCTACTGTATTCCATGCAAAGACTGTGAGTACGTTCATATAGGTGAAACTGGATGAACACCACATAAAAACATTTCAGAGCACAATATGCCATCATACGTCGTGATAAGAATAACGGTACGTATGTCTGGCCCTGGTAGCTCAGTTGGTAGCTCAGTTGGTAGAGCGCTCGCCTGGAAAGCAGAATGTCTTGGGTTTTGTAGTGCGCGTTGTCGTCGAGGTCCGGTAGCGCTTTATCCACTAGATGTTTCAGGTCGTCGGCGAAGGTCGACCAGTCTTCTGACGACTGTTTGCAGCGCGCCTGGAACTCTGCTGCGTCGAGGCTGCGCTTGCTTTCCGGTTCTAACCGGCGGAGTAGAGCGGTTTTCGCACGGCCGAAGTTTCCCCTTATTTCCTCTGGGAGTCGTCTGTACGCCGTCTTTGCGTGGCCGACTAACCGGACGGACAACCACTGTGCTGCTGCCTGATCGCTCCACTCGTTAATCCTTGCCACACTGTCGAAATGGTCGAGCCATTCTTCGAATGGTCCCTCTCCAGAATATAGTTCCGGAGTGACGACGGGACGAGTAGCCATTGCTTCTTGCCGACTGCCGACTACGCCAATGTAGTGCGCGGTCCGAGAGAACGGTCGCAGCCGTTCTAGACGCCGAGAGTGTCTGGACTCAATCTCTCATCTTACAGAATGCTCACACATTATATAGGTGGTGATCGTGTTGTGGTAATGTTTGTGGATATACAATTTAGATAAACACCCAGGTGACATTGTAGGTCTGGTAATGTAGGTCCAGGTGCTAACTGTAGGTGCTGGGCTTCTGGAAGTTTCTCTTGCTACCGGTTTGAATCCCACCCAGGGCAGCTCTTCTTTTTTCCTTGAAAAGAACTGTCCTTGGCGTAGATTACTTGTTTGCTTTGCCTTTACACCTAGTCGTTGACACTTGCTTCGTTTATCCCATCCTTATCTTGTCTCCCTTCCCATCCATATATGCCTCCTCTTTTTCAAATTTGCAAGAGTTTTTATTTACTTCCATAAGTTTATGTCCACACTCACCTTTCCAAGTGGGTTTGCTGTTCTTAAATGTAGCAAAACATAGCCCATACACTTCCGTGTGCAAGTTGCATTATCCACAGTAAACACCTAAAAGATATAAAGAACATTTAAGGGATGATACATTTCTATGCCCACACAGTTACAAAATATCTGCACAGTTGACGGGTAACAGCGTCACTGCCTAGCATCTGACATACACACCTCCTACTACCACAGATCAGATGGCAAATTTGGTCTCATTCAATCTAAAGGAACCATAGTCTATCACGTTTAAAACAATGCATGCCAACTCAGGCATAGGCGCAGACTGCCCAAGTATCCCCATTTCAACGGGATTCTCCCGATTTAACTTACTCTATCCCGTTTCCCGACGCTCCCCTAAGCAGGGTATGAAAAATCCTGCGTTTTGAGGCGTGCAGCCGGCCACGTACGTGCGCACGTGCGCATTAGGGGCCACCGCCAATACGTGCGCAGTGCAGTGCGATATTCTAACTTACTGGTGTTAGTCAGAGCGCTACTTGCACTTCCAGCTAGCAATGGTGACAATAAACGTTGCTTTTCAATGGTGCGGAAAATTTATAGTGAGACAGTACCATTGCCTCACTACTGACTCTGAAAATGAATATAGACCACGACTGTTTTGACTAAAAACCAACTGATGAACTGTTGAGGTTGAACAAATCTGCTGTTTGGCAATACAATCAAAAGCATGGTTCTCACAATTGACATTGCTTCACACTTGTCTGTCCTCATAATACTTTTATCATCAAAATCCCTTTTTCATTAATTTCTCCATTAAACTTACCACTACGTTCAATTAGGATTATAAGTATCCAAAAATTTTGGGGTTTACGACAGGATCCCTACGAGGCACAGAAGCCAACTTGGACAGTCTGTAGGCACATTACTTCATAGTGGTTTATTGCGCATTGTTACGCACCATTGCGCATGGTGGTGGGCATGCGACTATGCGGTTAAGCGTAAACGAGCGCAGTCGTACCCGCAAGCATTTACACTTTTCGAGTGCCGTCCTGAAAAACTTTGGCGTGTCAATGCGAGGTTATGCGCAAACAAGCATTAGCTGAAAAAACTTCGCAAAACACCACTTGAGTGAGTGCAAAACTGTGGTTTTACAAGATCAGTGTGTCGCGCTAGTTTACACGGGATGTACCTGCCACAACATTTAGGGTTCGACACACTGAACACATTAGGTTAGGATATTTTTATTGCATGTGATCAAAGCCTAAATGGAACAGGATTAGAAATTCACTAATATACTGCATATTTCAATTGACTTCGAACAGAGTAAGTGCATGCTTGGCGTCAGCTTGTCTTTAGAATTCCACGTTTTAATTACGGACAGTTGAATGGCGTCACATAAGCCTCGGAGTATCACAGGCTCCTCAGCGGACATTGGCTGGAGAGTCAATTGACTACGAATCAGCAAAGATTATAGCTTTAAAGATATACCGAAGATATAACAGATCAGCGTCGGCACTGCCAACAGACTATTCACCGAAAAGGAGACGTGCAGCCTTCTAGACGGAGTATGAGCAACAGAGAGCTTGACACAAGCATGAACTCTGCATAACCACATCGGTTGCTGACAATCGTGGCTCAAGTCTACAAGAGATCTGTTCAAACTTGAAGAAGCTCCACATGTTACTGTATCCGGGCCTAGTGCGTGTTGTGCCAGGGGTGGTTTCCCTTTTAAGAAATTATGCAAGTTACCAAGCAAAGATCAACAGAGTTTAGAGGTAACTTTAAGGGCCACTCTTATCAGTTTCCCCGATTACTTTGTGTGGATAGACAAAACTGGGTCTGTTGAAAGAAATCAGATCTGCAAATTTGGTTTTGCACTAAAAGAATTGATACCAGTTTACAACATATTCTCGCGTAGCCATCACCTCTCAAAAAGGAGAGAGGGTCTGGTCTGCTTAGCATCATAGACTTGTGCCAGTGGAATGTGCAATGACATATCTTTTAACGTTCAAATACGTGCATACGGGATATATGTATATGAAAGACCCTGAGACGAAGTTATTTGTTCTTAACTACGAAGACCAGATTACCAAGTAGCACGAGCGCGGGGCAGCTCTACCTTCACTTGAGAACGCGTTCTTGCACAGTGTTGACTGTGCTCATTCCACGATAACGTGACGTCGTGTAAGCTCTAGGTATGCGATAACTACTGTCCAGAATCTGGACAGTGGACACAACTCACTGATGCTAAGCAGACTAGACCCCTCTCTGTTTACGTGAGGGGTGTGGCTACGAGAGACTATTTTCCCACCGTCAAATAGTGAAGGGTATATACAAGGAAGGATATCCTCCAAAGCAGCCACGTGCTCTGAAGGGCTAGCTGATTATCATCTAACTGATAGTACTGTCAATGGTGATTTTTTTTGATTTCGTGAGAATTGAAGGACCTTCTTGAAAATTCTGGAATTGTACTCATGTTCTTACCACCACACCGATCTTAACCCCATTGAGGGGTTATTCAGCTACATGAAGTGTCTTCTTAAAAACATGTAGTTATGGCACCCTTCTCGATGATCTGATGTCATTGATTAAGCTACTGAATGCACTCATACCTAATGCTGATCTGCTTTTTTGGCAGTAGACAGAGTAGCAGCTTGTCCCCCTTGTTCGTGGAAAAAATTTTTTTCGTGCAGCGTCATAAGGAGAATGTTTTTTCACCACAACCATGTGTGCTAAAGCACGCATCTGTTCAGGTGTGTAGTGATCAGAGTGATATTTTAAAGAATTTCCTCCATTTCTGTCATGTTTTTCATGTGTGCACTTACAGTACACGCCAAAAAAAAGTTCCCACTACCGTACCGTAGTACGGTCACACTGTAGTAAGAACTACAGTCTTGCTACGCTGCGGTAGCAATGCTGTACTACGGTGGAAGCCGCAGACCAGCTACGGCACAGTACGCCGTAGTTTACTAAGACCCAGATACAGTCCTCTACCAAGCAGCGTTGCCCCATGCAGCTTTAGCTAGCTGTACGGCCAGGAGATCCACACGGCGTTCACACAGCGACAGTGCTGACGGCGAGGCGATCGATGGTCTGCTCTTGCCACGTTGATACGCGGTTTAGTGGGCGCAGTCGCACGCGCGTATGTGGCGTCAGCGCGCTCAGCGGGCGCAAAGGAGAGCGAGAAGCGATAGCAAGCAGCAGCAGCAATGCTAGACACGACTGAGCTACAACGCTAGTGTTCTTAGCTTAAGCTCAGCTTTAGAAACAACGCTCGTTGCTTGCTAGGCCGTTAGCTGCCACCGTTTATTTTACTACGGTGCTCGCAGAGTACCGCAGCTACGGACGGTGCTCTACGGTCGACCGTAGAAGCACTGTAGAAAATTTTTCTACGGTATCACCGTACTACGGGAGCGTAGTGGGAACGTTTTTTGGGCGATATCCTGGACTAGGCCACTTTGCTGAAGAACCTGACACTTCACTTATATCTATAGGCCTTGGACGCTTGGCAGCTCCTTCGCATTTGATCAACATTAGCATACATCTCTTCCCTTTACAATTCAACATACATGTCGGTAAGGTCGCAATCACAAGTATAGTACTTAGTATACAGGGATGACACAGGTTATTCAGGATCATGCCCATATTTTATCACGTTTAACTTTCAGTTTAAAAACTTCCGACATATCAGTCTGATCTGCATGGTCAAAATAATGATGTATGAAAGAAATGGCCTAAATCGCATAATCAGTAATCAAAAGTCAAAAAGGCAGTTTTCAAAATTATTATTCTTCTTTTTGTTATCGTTGTTGCTCAGTTTTCACAAGCATACCTCAAAAACCAGGTAAGGTATGGAGATGAAACTCTGCAAAAAGATTAGAATCAATGACAGGCCGCGCAAGGTTATTTTTAATTGGGTTGTAAACAATATTGTTTAATGTAAACAACAAAAAACAACCAAACCACAGCCCCAGGCCAAACATTATGATTAGATCAATAAAGTGTGCTAACCAGTTAATGGTCATGCCCAGAATGATAAAACTTTGTACACATATGTAACACAACATTAGGATCAAAATGTAAAAAGGACAAGTTTTTAAACAACAAACAGTATACATATACTACAACAATATAGGGATGCAATAAAAAGCAAAACGACAAGAATGAGAAGACCTAGTGCATGTGATGCAGTAGTACAAGAGATGATAGTTACATCTTCAAACATAGCTTGCTCGTGAAAACTTTCCTCCACACAAGCACTATATAGTCGCAAAGCATGTCCCTCATATGATGTGCAGCTATGACTAATTTCTTAAGCAAATCGATAGGCAGGTGTTGCCTTCTCTTGCTGCCACAAGTGAGCGGTGTGTGTGATGACTTTAATCACGCAAGGTAGGTGTGAAAAAACATTCTAAGCTACTCAAGCTGTACTTACACTCACAGTTATGTAAATTACATAAAATTATGTTTTCTTAGGTGAGAATGTAAAAGTGAGGTAGTGCTTGGGTAGGGAGTTATACTGAACACAATTAAACATAACTAAGTGGGGGCACTGTGATTATAGATATAGGGTATATATGTGCGCATGTCAGTTAGATCAAGACCCCCACAGGTTGTCTGTGAGCTTAGGCCTACATTATACTATGGGTGGTGGGCATCCCATTATGTTAATCATACGAACTCGCTAAAGAGGCCAAAAATTTGCACTGCACTTTTTCACAGTCCATAAAATTATGTTTCCACATTCTCTGCACACTATGCGCCCGCTCATACGCACAGACAACTCGATATTGCTGTCTTTGAACGCCATTACAGCCAACCTAGACAGTGTTTGGAGGTCTAAAGTAGAAGATTCTAAATACATGGTCCTATCATCCTGTGAAAATAAAAACAACTAAAGTGCAAACTCTTGCCACACAACGCACGAACGGTATCGCTAATTGATGGGCTGGGCTATCAGTATGCATTTACTCGTGGTCCCGGGCAAAGAGTCTGATACAGGCTAGCTACACTAGTAGATAGCACATGGGAGTCGATACACGCCCTCTATGTGACTTCTTGTGCCTCCAAGGTACACAGAGGCATATCAGTAAGAGGTAAGCCAGTGCCATATTGGCTTTTTTGCACAGCTTATCTCTAGAATGCAGTCATTTCAGGAATATCACCGTTTTTTTTTAAGGCTTGCGTCGTTGGTACTGCTTATAGGATGGTTCGAGACAGACAAACACACAC